GGGACAACTCCTTCCTGCCCAGGACCCTCCATCAGGAGGGCAGCAAACTAGGGCTGCCCTTGAGGCTGCCCTGGCCCCTGGCCAAAGGTGAAGTTCTGCCCCCTACCTGACTCCATGCCCTAACCACCCACTGGTGCCTGCCCTGCGTGGCTTTTACATGGGATGAGTGCAAGCAGGCTGCTGGCTCCCCTCACCATTCCTGACAGTGGTGTGGAGATATATTACATATATAAATATATATATTATAAATAAATGATCAAATGAATGAATGAATGAATGAATGAATGAATTTGGTTTCAAACTAGCCTTTCTCCACTTGGACGTGGTGGCAACCTGGTTCATTCCCCTCATTTGTGGTCTCAGAGGAGTCAGAGAAAAAGTCCTCAATTTTCAATCTCAGCCCCATTAAGTGCCAAGTGAAATAAAGTCCCCAGTTTCACTGAGGGATAATTCCCCAACAAAGGCCCTTGGGCACCGGGCACAGGGAATCTCAGACTTGGAGCTTTTCTACAGGAGGCCACAGCCTCACACAGTCCTTGAGGCTGCATCCTTGGAGGGATGATACTTGGGCTGTTCCCTTGGAAAACCTTATAAAGCCTTTCCCACACCAGACTGCCTTCAACAAGGTGCTTTTCCAATAAAAATACAGTGCTCTTAAAAGGTTTGCAATTTCCAGAAAGATAAAGATAGAAATCACCTATAATCCTGTGACTCAAAGGTAACCAACCATTGATAGTGTGTAAAAACTATAGTGTCCTTCTTCCTTTCCTCATCACTGCACATCCATGGGAGTGTGTGGATTTTGTCCAAAGCTAGTTCCCCACATCTATGAACTTGCTTTTGAATGACTGTATGGTAGCCTTGATTTTATTAGCAAAGACAGAAATCACCAGGCAGACACCTCCTGATGATGTCTCGTGACTGTTCTGCATCCCTTATCCGAGGTTGACCCTGTGTTCTTGGGTCACAGATGAGCAAGGCCTGGCTCTGCCCTGTAGGGTCCCCGCTAGAAAGGAGAGCACTGAGCCATCAGTGTGACAGCCTCATAGAGTACGATATTAGGGGAAGGTTGGAAGTGGAGGGGTTTCTTTGTAGGGAAGGGGGTACATCTTGGGTAAAGCTCAAATGTGGAAGAACAAGGCTCAGGTGGAAAATGTCGAGTGGTCCTTTGGGGCTGCGGTGTGGGTAAGGGGGTGAGGCAGGAGTGGGATGCTGGGCAGGGGCAGCTCTAGCAGGTGGTGCAGTAGGCCCCTCCAAGAGGGCAGCACCTTCATCAGTTTGGTTCTTGTGACCTAGCTTCCAGTTTCTCCCCACTGGCAGCCTTCAGCATGCCCACCTATGGTTCTGCCTTCCTCAATGCTTTTTCTGGTGGCTCTGCCCAGAAAAAGCTGGTTTCAGTCAGTAACAGATTGCTCTAGGACTTTTTGTTCAACTCTAGTGACACTGATTTGTGCTCCTCGTAGGCTATCTGTAGCTGCTGCTGTTAGCCACCTGGCCTGGTCTGTGTTCTAGATGGCCAGGGTACTCGATGGGAGGGCCCCTGGTAGGACAGGAACCTGTGTGGCCTGGCCTCCTAGTGATGTCCTTGAGATGCTGGCCGCAAGAACCCAGACCATCACCTGGACCAGGGCTTTGCTGATGTGGGACTCCTTGAACAAGAAGATGTCATTCGTATAGTTGTTGAACCTTTCAACGCTGTGTCTGGCTGCTTTGAGGACTCCTGGGTCGTTGGTCTTGATTGTTTTGGGAAATCCTGGGTTTACACATGAGTTAAAAATCTGGTAACAAACATCTGAAAGAGAAACACAGAACCAGAAAAGAACATTGTTGTTAGTGGAGCCCTTGGTCCAGGTGTCACACCTCATACCTTAGCACTCACTTCTCTCTGCTCCCATTGTGGCCCCTAGCCCCTCTAGCTCTTCCTTCGCTTGTTCAATCACCCCAACCTGTTCAGACCTCACTCACGGTGTATTTCTTATGCATCCCTATGGTTGCCCCTTACTGTAAGCTGAGGACCAGGTGAGGTCCTCCTTACAATGATGAATAAGATATAGTTAGTTCCCTCCCCTGTTCCTGCTCACACAGCCTCCTACGGTACCCAGGGCTATTTCTAACATTGTTAAAGAAAATCTAAACAAGTCTGAAGGTGGCAGAGCCTCGGGACAGGATGCATCCTCAGGGTGTAAGGAGCAGTTACTCCAGCTAGCTTTCAAGGCCACTATCTGGCCTTGCCCTGTCAGCTTGTCCTCAATAAGTGGACCTTGGAGAAGTGCCCAAAGGCTGGTCCTTTCTTCTCACTTGTAAGAAGGGCTGCTGCCATTCTCTGCCTCAGGGACTCTTGTTAGAACCCACTCAGATTCCAGGCCCTGCTTCTAAGCACCCCCCACTCCTCAGCACCATAACACCTGGCACCCCTCAATTGCTGCCTCATTTTGCACTGTTTTGGGTACAAGTCTGAGGGCAGGCTGAGGCCTGGGTGACTTTATCCCATGCAGCTCCCCTATGGAGCTGGCATGTGGTGGAGGGAAGGAAGGCAAAATTTCTTCCAACCTCCCATACTCTTCCTGTCTCGAGGGGACCCATAGTTGTATAAGAGATGCGGGAAGCAACATGAGGGGCTTCTCCTCAACCATCACATCCCCCCGCCTCTGACAAAGCTGGACAGAACCAGGGACTCTGATACCTCTTTGTTCTTCATGTCCTTTGCTCCCAGCTTCCACAAGTAATGGAGCCTGGGTGAACCTGAGGGTCCTCCCTGAAGAAGAACCTGACTTTTCAGTCCTTTGTCCAGCTCCCCACAGGCTGAGCTGTCCTCATCCTGCAGGCACAGGGGACTCAGAAGCTTTTGTTTGCTGGAGCTCACATTCCACAAGTAAACAGGTAAGAAAAATATCAGAGCAGTGGATGAGGAAAGGCAGGAGTCGTACCTGTGTGTAGGGATGCAGGGTCTGGCCTCACCATCTACACAGGTCCAGAGGAAGAGCCTGAGAGCCATTTGTGGGCCACAGGGCAGAAGGTGGCCCAGGGCTCAGGGGACCACATGACTAAAACAAGGAGGACACAGGGAGAAGTGCTAGGAGGCAAGGCCAGCCAGGTGTGGGTGTGTACTCACTCAGGTTACAAACTTTGGATTTTATTATAAAGAATATAAGAATGTGAAAAATTCATAGGCTCCATATAGCAACAAGTGAATGGTGGCCTATTCTGGTTAGTGACTCATGGATGAAATTATTTTGCCAATTTTACTATGATGGTCATGAACTACTTGTATATCAAAATAACGAAATGTTAAAAGTTGTGGGGGAAAATCTAAATAAATTAGGGGGAGGGAGGATGGGTAAGAGGGTTTATAGGTCTGTGAACTTCTTCTCTTTACCAAGACTTTCCCCATATTTTCCTGAGATGTCAGTGTGCCAGACATGATCCAGAGCTGAGCTGCTCTACAAGGCTGGCACCGGCCCAGTAAGCAATTTTATTTCATCAACTAAAGTAAACAGAGTGTTCAGCTCTTCAGTGGCACAGCTGGTGTCAGGTGCTCTGTAGCTGAATGTGGCGGCCATGGCTGCCGTCTGGGTTGGTGCAGGCAGGGATGTTGCGTCCTTGCAGATGTGAGTTTAGCATGTGGCAGAGGTGCCCAAGCAGCAGGAAGTGGAGACTTGGGGTATGTGGGCAGCAGCAACGTTAACCAGACAAGCTTCCTGCTTCAGAGCTTTGTCTTCTGCAGGCATCATCTGAGATTCTCCTTTCCAATAACCCAGGCCTCATATGACATTCCCACAGAAGCTGGGCTGAAGCTTTCACTTGAGGTGTCTGAAGATGGAAGCAACGAAAATTGTTTCTGTCCTTTGAGCACTAGGAGCTGGGTTGATCAGGCTGTGTCAGGCCCTAGAACCTTCATTTCCCCTACCAATGTGGCTCTGACTCAGGTGGGCCTGTGTACACATGTGGGGGATGGCTGCTCCTGGGGTACCTGTGCTTACTGACCATAGGAAGATGGGTGTGGATTTCAGTTTTAACAAACACTGTTTTAGAAAACAGCTTGGTTTCTGCTCATCACTGTAGTCTACACAGTGGAGAAAGAAAAAAGCCTCTTTGAGGGCGGGATCGTGTCTCGTTATTACATGGTCCCCTACTGCCCATTGTGGGTTAATACATTTATTAATTTGTAAAAATTACATTCATTGCATTATCTGATTATAAGCTTACCTATTTTTAGTAGGAAATTTAAAAAATACCTAATATTTTAGCAAAATTATGAGAAATTCTTATTATCTCCAAGGTAACACCACTGTCAACTGTTTTTAAATAAAATGTATTACATTTAATTTTGCTTGAATTTAGCAGAATTAAAACGTTTAAGTGAAACCAGGTGTGGCTGAACCTCTGATGAATATGATGTTAGTTCCTAAATTATTCCGGTAAAGTTATAAAAAAGTTATGAAAAATATTGAAGCTGATTTATTTTTATTTAACTCCATGTTTCCTAAATTATAGGCTTCAGGTCAACACAGGGGTCCAAACAAACAATAAAACTCCATTTTTAATTTTTAAAAAGTTGACAAGTCAAACCTATTTTTAGAATGATTTAAGAGAAATTAACAAAGAAGGGCTGATCATGAAGAAAAGCATCCCAACGAGGTGACTCCTGCGGGGAGAAAACATGCAATCAAGTGGGTGCTGAGCCCATGGTGAGCTCCCTGGGAGCCGGCCTGGGGGCCAGCCTTTCCGGAAGACAGCAGGCAGGAAGGGCATCTGGGCTTTGTGCCAGGGCGCTGAAGTCTGAGGGAGCAGGAGGAGCCTGCTCTTTTCACACCTTTGCAGGGGTGGTGCTCACCCCATTCTACAGGTGAGGAAACTGAGACCTCAGAGGAGTGCAGGGCAGGTTTAAACCCAGGTTTGACTAATTCTAAAAACGATGTTTTTTTTTTTCTCATTCAAGAAGTATATGTATGTGTGTGTGTGTGTGTGTGTGTGTGTATATATATAA